CTTTATTCGTCCGAGTTTTCGGTCTCTTACTGGAGTGCATCCTCATAGGTAAAAGTGGCAATCCCATTTGCATGACAGGTAGAACTGGAAAAGGTTGGAAAAGGCACGAGGCAGAAAATCGCAAGTATTATTTTTTTTCAATTAAAAGAGCGATGTGGAGGAAAGAGACAGCTGTATGGAGGAGACGAGCCGGCGCAGATTTCATTTCAACAACTTCTTCAGTCTGCTCACCACGGCTGGATCCACGGCACAGTCAGAGTCAGTGGTGGGAATGTTTTCGATCTCTTTGCGAAGGTCCGCCTTGAGATCATCTCGAAGGGACACTTTCAGCGCAGGCTTGCTCTCGACTGCGTTGCTGTCTGGGTTCAACAGTACGGACCGCCGACCAGTGAGCAGAAGGACTAGACCACTCAGCAGGAAATCCGGTGGTGGTGCCGGGGCAAAATGCAGGGCCAGTTCCGCGATTTTGTCAGCAAGAGCGCAGTTCTTGATGACAATTAGGGAAAAAGTAGAAAAGAAGAGCAGGTTAATGTAAACAGAATCAACGTCGTCGTCATTAATGGCGTTGAATAGCACTCACCTGACTTACTTGTACTTAGCGCGACTGTAATCAAACCTGGTCTAGCTGACATTGAGCATGTCACGTACAGTACCTCTCCATTAGTGCTTAAACTGATCTGAACACCTCAATCAATTCTCTTCATTAGCAAGAGAAAGCCGAAGAACCACTTCCATGTTTTGACGAACTGTGTCGAGCCAGGCCCTGAGTTGGCTTCTCCTTCGACGCCCCCAGATAATCAACGGCACTTATTAAAGGGTAATATAACTAAGTTCGGGAGGCGGACGACAGAGAACATGTGCAAACCATCACAGCTATCCTTATTAGGTGGCCTGAAATGCCCCCGCGATCTCGTCACAGCGAGTGCGGACTATCTCATTTGAGTGAAGTACCTCAATTCGTCTCAAATGAGACAGTCCGCACTCGCTATCACGATACTGAGAGGATACCTCAAACTATCTAAGAAAGACTACTGCAGTATTTTGGACATGTTCTCTGTCGTTTATATCATGAGCATAGTTACACGGCCCTCGATCCGGTGCCGTTGCTCACATGGAGGCATCGAAAAGGAGGTCCACTCGGAGCCCAGCTCAACGCAGTTCCCTAAGACATTGAAGCACTTCTTGAAACTCCCGTGTTTGACCTTTGTCACTGTAGAAGGAAATAAGTTGAGATGTTCAGATTTGCGGGCGCGGATTGTCACGCGTGGGGGGCTAAAGACCATGACATAAACATGCCCGCTGGGTCAGGCATGATCGCAGCCGCATCAAGTGTGCAAATCAGAACATCCGCTGGATCTGCTTGCGTCAATGCTCTCAAAGTGCCAAGCGACCGCCCAAATATTGTGAGCAATTGAAAAGCATATTGCATAGTAAATTTAAGCCTCCGGTGACGAGCAGCCCCCGCTACGAGCATTTCAGATAACGAGTGAGCCACTCGCAGACAATTTGTTTCGGTTGAAGAGCTTCCGCACAGGTAACGAGATGACAGTGTGTGCGTGTGTGCCCTTGAGTCTTGCTCACAGAACGTGGATCCTTGGTCGCCTGCAGCCAATCCATGAACTGATGCAGTTTGATTGGCTAGGAGCTCTCGCGAGAATGGGCGCCTCCAAAAGCGAACTGACTGCGAGAGGGAGGCAGATAAAGGGACAACGCGGAGAGCGATACCATTGGTAAACGAAGTTAAGATTAGTCAGATGAGTGGCGGTGCTGATCGGGGGACCGGACCGCCACAGCATCTGTCTGCAATTAGTTGTTTTTTTGTGGTTTTATGGCTACAATTTGTAATGAACGATGTCGTCAAAGAAGCCGCTCGCTAAGCAAATAGTGTTGTCAAAGGAGAGAAAGACACAGTTATATAAATTTTTCATATTTATGTTTTTCGGGGTGGGACGGATTAATTTTCTTTCCATTGGATCAAATGGAGACATGGGTTTCGCAAGATAAACGTCTTACATGATGAGATCAGTACCATAAGGGATTAAACTCGTTAACCAAGAACCAGCAGCTTTTCAACTTCCATCTCAAGGTGAGATTGCGAACAATCAGACTCAGAGACGACAAAAATTCTGGGCATCTGTAGCATATAGTCCAGAAAATAAGTCATAGCACGAGAGATTTTATCTACATCCAACACCAATCAGAGAGAGGGAGAAACGGGAACTGGGATAGGTGAAGTTGAAACGTTTCACTAGCAAAATTAAAACAAAATATCGCGGCAGTACAGCGGCGGTTCATCTTTAGTGAACCCGATTTGCGCGTAACGCTTGGCTCTCACGGCTACTAACAATAGCGCACGCACCAGTGCCTGCCTACCGCAATCCCGTCTGGCTAATCACCTGTAAAGTTAAGTCACACGAGACCTCACTGCGATGACTGCCACGCCCTCAGGCTTCGGACACCGGCCCCCTCGCGGATGGTTGTGCACTAGACTGACTGTCAACTTCATCCTACCCATTCTCCACTAGCTCTGCACAGAAAACACTATGCCTCGCACCTGGCGTCTCGCTTCTTCTCTTCTCACACGAAACCGAACCTGAAAATCACAGCGGCAGGGGTTTCACCTATTAATTTAACTCACCGTGATACGTCTTTTGAAAACCGGCTGGGGGAGTGGGATGCTTAAAAGGAACCTGCCAAACAGTTGATTAGGCAACTGAAATCGTCGACAAAAGGAGCAGACTTCTACTTACGCAATTATTCATCCGTCAACTCCTGACCCATGCAGGAGAGGGCGAAGATCGCCTTGTTGAGGATACGCGCGTGCTCCTGTATCACGGCCTCCGACGCAGGAACACGATTGAGGACTTCGGAGA